AACACCTAACCATAACCAACACACACACAACCTTTACCTGACCCTTAACCTCACCCTAACCTTAAACCAAGCCATCAATCTAAAATGTAAGGATTGATGCCATCCTTATGGCGACTGGCTTTTTGTCACCATAAGGGTGTGACTGTGTAAACAAATTTACATCCCGACAACAAAGTAATTCCATACACCCCCCCCACACACATACTTTTATATTTGTGAGGACATTCATTGACATAATGCATTCCCTAGCCCCTTACCCTAACATAACCATCAAAACTAAATGCCTAACCCTGACCCCAAGCACTGAAAAAGCAATATAGTCCCATTTCTAAAAGCAAATATGCCTTGCTGGCATAGTACTTGTAGGATATGGTTCTTCTTACCATTGCTAACTCTGAGAGACGAGACAGTCCAAGTAACTTCAAAACAGTGCTGATTTATTCAAAGGATCACAGGTAAAATTAACATTACACGCTCAGGTATCTTGCACCTCCAAACTGCACGCAGGCAGATGTAAGATGAAAGACCCTGAACCCAACAGGCCTATACATTATATCCCCTCGGTTGGGCTAGCCCCATACTACACAGAAACGTCAACCGAGATGTCTCTGTTACCAGCTTTGCAGCTGGTCATAGCAGTAGTCAAAACATGAAGCAAATCAATGTGTGTGTGTCTGTTGATTAAGTGGTGTGTAACTAAAAACATTCTCACGACCTCTAGTAACATGTCGTGACATTAAACATAAGAACATATTATGGCTAAGGCTACAGTTATACACGTCATCATAATAATATTAAACACCCTGTCTGCTGACAGTCATCAACTCTTCTCTCTAGTTATCCTTGACCAGATGTACCCTGTAGAAACTCATAAGCATGACTAAGCATTTAACAGTCTAACTAGACATCCTATCTCCACTAAACATTTCTAATACATAAAGTATCTATCCAATATCTATCTGACTAAAAATACCTAACATACTCATTTCAGAGGCAGTAGTAGAGCAAATAATTTTGAGGTGTTTTTTCCATCATATGAACCTGAAGGTGTCAAGTCATGTAACACTTATTATGAGTTCTGCATTTGTCTGTTCTCAATTCAATTTGGAGGTGTGTTCAGGGAGCAGAAGTTTGGCAGCCCTCAGGAGGTAGTACTAAAAGCAAGTTCCAAGAAGGTGAGGGGGATGGGGGTAGGTGTTCACAGAGCTGTCAGCCGTGATTGGTTAAGTATCAGCTTCTTCACACCTCAGCTATTATCATTACGGTGTGTAAACACACTCACTGGTTTAGAGGTAAATTATAAGGACTTCACTCTTTGGTTTAGATGTAAAACGGGGACTTCAGTCAGTGGACTGTGAGCAAAGTAGCGACAGCGTCACATTTCTGCAAGTTTGTGTTCTGCTTCTTCAATAGCTGTTTGATCAACTGCTCATACAGCCTCTGTTACTGGCTGATTTTGTTGCACTAAGGAGCATAATGAGACTTGACTTAGCTGTGTGTCTGTGTGTGTGTCATGCGTGGGATTGTCGCCCTGCCCTCCTCTAAACAGATTTCAACATAGGGGAAAACTGTGGAAAAGCAAAGCAGGAAGGTCCACATCAGCCTGTGAGGCTATGCTGGGTGACGGTTGTGGGAAGCATGGGGTGCACCACTGGTTAGGTTCCAACAGTGGAAACAGGGTGTTGGTGATCCCCTGACCTTTCATTTAGTGACACCCAAAGTCAAAGCTGTGCTTTTGCTTTAGTACTAAATGTCATATTTTTGCATGCAAACTTGCTAAACGAAGAGATGAATATGGCAAACATTACAATTTCTTAACATTATAAGCATAATATAGGGAACTTACTGTAGAGGGAAGGCAAAGAGTCACTCCTCTAATGATCAACTTACATATAATAATAATAATAATAATAAAATTTATTTATAAAGCACCTACCAGCTCAAAGAGCACTAGGTGCTACATCAGGAAAAAAAAAAAAAGTCCTGTTCAGACCTTTTACACGCCATCTGGTCTAAAATGTCTATATCCAGTAAAAAGCTTGTTTAAAAAAATATGTTTTCAGTGCCGATTTAAACGGAACTAATTCAGTTATGGAGCGTAAATCTAATGGCAGAGCGTTCCACAACACCGGGCCGTACACGGCAAAGGCCCGACCTCCCCATTTTTTATAACGGGACGTAGACATATGTAAAATGAGACAACTTTTCATTCATCAATTCATCTGTCCATTGAGATTTACACCATCTAATTCTCAGTCCATGCAAGCCTTTCAGTAAGTCAACATTACTGAAATATTATCTCTGAAACAGGGAGTTCTACTCAAGGGACTGTTAATAACGTCAGAGTGACGTGACTAGAGCATCCAACCCAAGTTCACCATAGGGTGGGAAACACACACACACACACACACACACACACAAAACAATAAACAGGAGACAGTATCTGAATTCTATCAGTCACAGGTGCTAAGATACAAAAACAAACACAAAACCAGAGTGAAATCATCCACATGTGCTAAAGATACATGTATTACATCGATGTGCGTAAATCCGTGTACACACTTCTCCAAAGTGAAATCATCCACATGTCACGAGCCATCTATCACAGATGTTCCTCTGATTAGAGGTTATATCTGTAATGGGCTGGGGCCAAGTCTGGAAGGCCATCATGACTGAATTTCAGTTTGTAGTTCCAGCTTAGGCAGTCTGACCTAATTGTTGGTCTGACCTTTGCACTGGGCGACTTGCCCAAAACGGTATATGAGACACTGTGAACAGCAAAGCATCCCAGCAAGTGTCAGTGTCTGTATTTTTGCACTGGTTGAATTCTGTAGAATATGACCTGTTCTCTATGTGTAAGCAGTGGTTTTCTGGTTTCCTCCCAGACTAAAAGGTGAATTGGAAGCTGTAAATTCCTGGTGTGAATGTGAGCTGTCATCAAAGTACCATATCTAATCTTATCAAATAATTGATTTCTGTCAAAATGCTAAAGATTTTAAGAATATAAACTACACAGTAAACCATTAGGTACATGCAGTATATTTTGAAGGCACATTTTGGCTCCTAAACAGTGGCTGAGTTAATTCAAAGTTGATGAATAAGGTGAACGAATTTATTCTGCACAAATTCATAAAACTGTAAAACATTATACACATACACACACAAACATAAGGAGGTCTAAGGTGAAAAGCACTCTCAGCTTAATATATTTAAAAATATGTTTTTACAGACACTTACAACCCCCTGCACCAATATAAAATATTTTTACAAGTGCATTTATGTATGTGTGTTTTGCATGTGTGTCGGGGGTCTTGTAAAATGGACTGTATTTTATATAGCGCTTTCTCACAGTGTGTTGCACCGGCCAAAGCGCTTTACAGAAGATCATACACCATTCACACACCGATGACGACAGGCTGCCATGCACCAGTCAAGCCACCGGGAGCAATTCGGGGTTCAGTGTCTTGCTCAGGGACACTTAAGCATGCAGGGAGACCGGGAGTCGAACCACCAACTTGCTGGTCAGGAGATGACTGCCCTACCTCATGAGCCACAGCCACGCAGATGTAAATGAGCATCTGATGTTAAAAGCCTTGCCATGTGCTAGAGGAGGCCAGCTACACTGGCTTTAGCTTTCTCAGCCTAATGAAATGACCTAGACCTAGATTACATCTGAACCACGGGGTGTGCATGTTTCTCTGTCTCTTAGTTTAGCCTCACTCCGATTTTTCACTTTTCCTGTAGTCTCTCTTAGCTTTATATTCATCTGCCTCTTTTTCTCCTGGGTGTGCTCCTAAATCTGCCATTACTCATTTACACATTTACACATTCTTTTAGTCTAAATTTACAGGAATGGTAAGGGTTAGATTGCAGTAGAAAATGTTAAAGGACTTCCCACAAGGGGGCGCCTCACTAACCCGGTTAACCAATAGAAGCACACTTTAACTTTCATAAAGTCAAAGGGTCAAGCCTTCATTCATCTATGCTATGTAAAACCTGTAATGGCACATGCTCCCCCTCTTCGCTGTGTATTTGTATTTGTATTCTTTCTTTGGGAGTTTCAGAGAGAAAGTACACATGCAGCATTAGAAAGTCAAAAAGCTCTTGTCTTCTTCTTCCCACGGAGATATAAACAGATGACATCACAGGGTGGTCCACCCTGCGCTGAGCTGAGCCACGCTGAGTGGGTCTGCGCTGGTCTGCCAAACAGATGGCGGTAGCAACATAACAAGAGCTGGAAAGAAACAAACTTTAAGATTTTGAGCAGAGGATTTTGTGCAGCAGGACCCATGTTCATTAAAGATTGTCATTCAGAATGTTGACACACAAACAAGGGATGTTTGTGAAAACACACAGAAAAATCTTTTAGACAGTTTGTTCTATTGTTGGTACTTGCCTGACAATGTTCTGCAGAGCTGTCTTTACAATATTTCAGGAAGAAAATGTCATAATTGTTTCTCCCATTGAAGTTTGGCTGTTCAGCAAGGTCAGCCATCTTGTTAGTTAATTAGGTCAAGAAGTCTTGTGCACCCTCCCTCTGTAAAGCAGATTTGGAACAATCAGCTACTCACAGCTGTCTGACATTTAGACAGGGAACTTGTGGAGGGGGAGGGATAAAAAAAAACAAAACAGATTCTACCTGAGTTTGTTGTAATAAAACAAGGTTGTGTGTTTGTTATAGAAGTGTACGGCCAAAAATTGTAAATAAGTATTTGCCATACTTGAAATCTTGCTATTAACTATGCAGTTAACAAAATCAATGTAGTTTAAGTACGATACTTAAATTATTGTGAACATAAACATTTCGCCAGCACATGTTCTATAAAATCATATGATTATTGCAGGAGGTCAGTTTCCTCTGTTTAGTTCGAGTGAAAATGGAGCATATCAGACTAAGGTTTCACTATCTGCTCATGGCATCAGGATTTTAATTAACATACTACAATCACTGAAACCTTTGCATCACAATCAATAATTCAATCTTTTCTTTTCTTCCCTAGATGAGGTGTCAAAGAGTTCTTACCTTTCTGCGGATATTTGGGACCACCATGTTTGGTGTGTCCCTCCTGGTAGGCATCTCCACGGCCTACATCATGGGCTACCAGTTCATCACCACAGCCCACAATTACCTATCCTTTGGCCTGTATGGAGCCATACTAGTTGTGCACCTCATTATCCAGAGCCTCTTTGCACTCCTAGAACACAGAAACATGCGGCGCTCCTTAGAGACACCGATCAAACTCAATAAGTCATTGGCATTATGCATCGCAGCATATCAAGAGGACCCAAACTACCTGAGGAAATGCCTGGTGTCAGTGAAGAGGCTGACATACCCAGGGATCAAAGTGATCATGGTGATTGATGGGAACTCAGATGATGACTTGTACATGATGGAGATTTTTAAAGAGGTGATGGGATGGGACAAATCGGCCACCTACGTGTGGCGGAGTAATTATCATAACAGAGGATCTGAGGAGACAGATGAGAGCTACGCTGAGAGCCTTCAGCAGGTTTCCAGGCTGGTGCTGAACAACAAGTGTGTGTGCATCATGCAGAAGTGGGGAGGAAAGAGAGAGGTCATGTATACAGCTTTCAAAGCACTCGGGAGGAGTGTGGACTACGTTCAGGTAAGGCTGAATGAATTTGACATTGATATTAATAAACAGAGTTACAGAAAATGAGGAGAATATAAGAATGGTAGCAGGTTGAAATGATAGATAGTGGAGATGACTAAAGTGATGCAAAAGGGGCAAAAATGGAAAGAGAGACAAAAGAGGGGAGGAATGAGTGTCCATTACACAGATAGACACGCTTATATAACAGATATTCACAGGCATGTGCCTGTGCCTGTATCTTAGTAGATGTACACACATATATACACACAGGTAAGACAAGGACAATTGGCATTACTGTGATTCATAATGCATAAAGATTGTTTGACTGAAATACATCCAATTAACAAATCAGCTACAAACTGAAAGTCTGCTTCTCTTTCACACCTTCATGAATAATCAAACTAATATACTCTATGCCGCAATTAAATGTATCTTTTGCAAAGTGCACTATACAAAATAGAAACCCTTCTAATGTAGAAGCTTCCTTGATTGTAGATCTGTGCTTTTTCAGCACTAGTGTATTTGAGTGTATTGTTAAACAAAATAGAAACCCTTCTAATGTAGAAACTTCCTTGATTGTAGATCTGGGTTCCTTTGTTACACTTTATCAGAAAAAGCTGCAACCAATATAAAAGCCTGGCGTAAGCATAAAAGTGAACTGAGAACTCTAGCAAATGGTCCATTGGCTAAAACACCACTGTCATTGCATCATATTTGTTCTGTTATATTTAGCTGGTGGTGATCTTAAGCAAAGAGTAAATCTGAAACCTCATTAATCTAGTAACACTGTAATGATTTCAGTGAGCTTGCATAACAAAAAGGGCACTTGAGGATAAACCCTCTTTGATATGGTGCTGTCTAACACCTGCAGTTGGATACAGCCTGCCAGAGACATGTTGTTAAACAGAGATTTCAAAAGAACGCCCTGCAACATTGCCAGTAATCATGCTGGTATACCCTTCAACACTTTGGGAAAGGAGGGAAAGTGTTCCATGCCTGTTTGTGATTATCAGATTGTGTTTATACCAGATGCATTTTGTTAATAGGGATTGGGCTAGATAGCTGTTTTCATCACCTGAATTTGTTCTGGAAGAAAATGAACATTTATAGAAGAAAATTAAGAGTATTAAAAAGGAAAGATAGTTGGTGGTGATTAAGTTTAAAGCAGTTACTCTGTGTGAACCTTGTTGCAGGGGATTATCTACCAGTTATGTTAGTATTCAGATTATGAAATATTTAATTTGATTTAAAAAAAAAAGAAAGAGACAGATGAGGATGAGACACAGAGACAACCAACATGTATTCCATCTTGTCTACCATTAGATGTGGTGGCTTGGAATGTAACACGCTTTAATTATAGTTTTCCAGTTAAAATATTCTGTTTACTATCCTCCAGCTGTGTGCTGTTTTACATGATTGTAACAGCAGACTTTTGGCTCTAAAACACAGGTAACTCAGTTTACTTTGTGGGTTTCACTCAGGTGTGTGACTCTGACACCATGCTGGACCCAGCATCATCGGTGGAGATGGTGAAGGTTTTAGAAGAAGACCCTATGGTGGGAGGTGTTGGAGGAGATGTTCAGGTAGTTTCAAAACTAAGAATACTTTGCCTTTTCTTACAAGTGAGAACTTATACAAACTGAACATTTCAGTCTGTTAAACCTCCTCTTTTGTCTTTTTCCTTACCAATCTTCATAGATTCTAAACAAGTACGAGTCGTGGATCTCCTTTCTGAGCAGTGTACGATACTGGATGGCTTTCAACATTGAACGAGCTTGCCAGTCCTACTTCGGCTGTGTGCAGTGCATTAGCGGACCTCTAGGAATGTACCGAAACTCCCTCCTGCATGAGTTCCTGGAAGACTGGTACAATCAGACTTTCATGGGATCTCACTGCAGTTTCGGGGATGACCGTCATCTGACAAACAGAGTTCTCAGCCTTGGCTATGCAACCAAATACACAGCACGATCAAAGTGCCTCACAGAGACACCCATTACATACTTGAGGTGGCTTAATCAACAGACTCGATGGAGCAAGTCATATTTCAGAGAATGGCTATATAACTCTATGTGGTTCCACAAGCACCATCTATGGATGACTTATGAGGCAGTAATCACAGGCTTCTTCCCATTTTTCCTTGTTGCCACTGTGATCCAGCTCTTTTTCCAAGGAAGGCTCTGGAATATTCTGTTGTTTTTACTCATTGTGCAGGCAGTGGCACTGATCAAGTCATCATTTGCCAGCTGCCTCAGAGGTAACATTGTAATGGTGTTCATGTCATTCTACTCTGTACTGTACATGTCAAGCCTGTTGCCAGCCAAAATGTTTGCAATAGCAACAATCAACAAATCTGGATGGGGGACCTCTGGGAGGAAAACAGTAGTTGTGAACTTCATTGGTTTGATTCCTATATCAGTTTGGTTCACCATCCTCTTCACTGGGATTATATACACAACAATCCAGCAGACGAGAAAACCCTTTCCTGAATCAGAAAAGATTGTTCTGATCATAGGAGCTGTTGTCTATGCCAGTTACTGGGTCATACTGTTGACATTGTATGCAGTGCTTATAAATAAGTGTGGCAAGAGGAAGAAGGAAACACATTATGACATGGTGCTGGATGTATGACTTACAGACTATAGTCATCATTTACCACTGAACTCACTTTTTGGGTTGTTTTCATGGACACTGTGTTATGCAAAGGTTTTTCAGATGCAGAGCAGCTCTGGAGGCAAAATTGACTGAGTTCAACTAAAATAGGTGAAAACCAGAGTTATGGGTGGACAGAAACACTTGAATGGAAGCAACTGTGTGTTTTGTTCACTCATGACCACAGCATTCTCAGAACATCAGCATGCTAACTTACCTAAATGACGCCTTGTTTGGTTAGGTGAAAATCAGCTAGCGTAAGCTAACTAGCTAACCTACATAACTCAGCATGGCAAGATTGCATATTCTGCAGTTGGCAGCAAGAGTACTAATAGGCTTTTTAATATTAGCTACCTCTTACTGTGGTCAGTTTCACTGGGTTTCAGTATAACATTATCAATTTAGCAAAAGAAACTGGATTTTCCAATGCCCCCCATTGTGGTTTAACTTGACCAGCGAGAATATTTTACCTCCAGGGCATCATTGTGTCTCCAAAATATGTTTCTACACCCTAATGAGAAACCAGTGTATACTGTATTTTCCCCCACCAAAGGGGAAGCCAAAAGACTGCCAGTCTATCTCAACGGTCATATGACTACACAGCATCAAGGATTACATACATAACTGTAAAAGGTGCTGATAGAGAGTATTGGCATCACTTCGGCTAAATGTAATCAATAAAGGATGGTCTGTGTGGATTTGACTAATAGGAGAGGTTGGCCTTTACTATTAAAAAGAAACACAAAAATGACAAGAAGTTATACCACATCTATTCAGTGATATAATGCCATATGTTCTGGCATCATTGCATTGGTTTACTTTTGCAATGTTTTAAAAACTCTTTTTAGAAGAGCTGCATTATCACTTCTCAATAAGTTAATGGCTGCAAAAGGGCTATAAAATGAAGAGCTGCTCTCTTCCTTTTGTTGCATTCAAGACATATGGGAAAGACAAATGTTCTTGTCTTCACACATTATATATGCTTTTATAATGTATCTGATTCAATTAAAAACATTTTATTCATTTAAAAATCAGTCAGTTCAGTACACAATTGCAACAAGGTTTTCGTGCAGTTATTTGTTGTTATAAGTTGTGTTTGTGGGGGACATTACAGTACTTGATTTGCTGTTTAAAATAAATCAAAATGCATCACTCACTCTGGTGCACGTATCTTGAATGTGAAATAATTGAATGATCCTTACAAAAAAGGCTACAAACCTATTGTGTTTGAATCTGTGGGTACTGTCAAGTATTTTGTCCTTGGACAATCATTTTTTATTCCCATATGACCTGAATCCAGTACTTTTTTTCAGTGTTTACAAAATGATGAATCACAAGCTGATTGGTAGATGTAGAATTTTCACCAGATGAGGTGACCAGGTGAACATGTGACCAGAAGAGAGGTGGTGTATCATTGCTGCTGTGACTGCTTTCTTTTTACTTTAGTTGTTTTTCTTTTGTTAAAAAAAATGAGTGAAGGGTTTATGTTGCAAAAATAAACACTATTATTGTTTTTCTTTCAACCGAAATGAATGATAACCACCAAGCAGACACAGTGGACATGTTACAATCCAAAGATTTTGAGATTTTTGCTTTCCACATGCCCTTGCCCTATTCCTTCCTCCACATACAGTACTGTATTGAGGATACCCGCTGCTTCCTTGCATTGCATTTGAAAACCTGCAAGGGAAGAAGTAAATGTGAGAAGAGCATGTACCTACAGTAAGTCCTGTCTGATAACAGGAATCTGAACAGGGGCACTTGAAGGAAGGGAACAGCATTTTGGAATGAAACAAGTCCTGTGTTTGCTACAGAGACATGAGTTTAACTATTATGCACTTTCATGTCTCTCCAGTCGTCCAGTGTGATGCTTGACATGATCAAAATAAAATACCTCAGTGGTTCTCTTTACATTGCATGAAGGCATCAGGATGCCATAAATACGGATGCATTCTGAAGGTCTTGAGAAATTTATGATCAGTTTGTGATATTAAATATAAAAGTGTGGTTTTTATACAGTTCCTTAATAAGTCAAAGCTGGATTTCTCTGCCTTGTCGACCCTTTGCTGTAGCTGTTTACTTGTTATTACTTTGTATTTCAATGCATATTTATATCTATATCTATATCTATATATCTATCTATAGATATAGATATAGATATAGATATATATATAAAGACAATTTTATTCCTTTTTATTTGCTTAGCTACCAAAAATGCTTTATTTTCAGTTTTGTTTTATGAGAAAAAATGTATTTGTTGTGCTTTTAACTGTTCTGACAGTGACTTGCATATCTGACCAAACAATGTGAAATTGTAAGCTGGAAATTTTGTCTGCAATAACAACAATAAAAATGCAATTTGTTGGGACAAGTGAGGTAGAACTTAATGAAATGTGTATGTGAAATTTAAGAATCACTGGCATTTATAATAACTCATGCAGGCAGTCATAACCTTTTACACTAGACTGTCTAGCAAATTGTGCTTACTGGAATTTGTTATTCAGAGAAGATATAACTGGCCATGTGTACATTACAGTTTGGTATAATAAACTGACAGAGTAAGTTGATGATGTTTCCCACGAACAGAGTCTGTTTCCTGGGCCCAGATTAAATACTTTAATCTGAGACAATGTAGTCTGGCCAGTGAGTGGTCCTTTTTGTATTGATCAATTTGGTGTCATTTGGTATCATGTCACAAGACTGGACAAGGTATGTCTGGGAAGTATTTTTCTTCTTACCTTTGTCTCACCCAGGGGCACCTTCATGGGGATCAAAAAGAGAAAAATGTATTATTTTACCACTGAAAATCAGATTCACAGCCTTACTCAAACAGAAAAAGTAATACCATAGTTAATTTTTGAACAAATAAAGTGTGATGAGATCAAAATTCCTGACCTGGATCCAAAATGACCAGTATATTGTTCAGATAGCCAGAATATACAGCATCTTTATGTGAGCCACAACCCTTTATAGTCAGTGTAGTTACACTTTCTGTGACCTTTGGGAAACAAAATGCAGGAAATAATATAAAATAAAATAGAAAAGAACTTCTATCTGGAAATTATTAAAACAACAAGTTTTTGTAAGCTGTTGCTGACATGGCTTTCTTAATTGAACAATCAGCCCCATGTGAAGCATTTAGTTTTTGTGCTGTTCTGAATATTCTGAACAGCTGTTCCACCCATCTTGGCAGCTCCTCAAAAATCAGGCTACAAAGTGACTATTCTGATGGCTGTGGAAAAACAGCGTGAAAGTTATTATTAAAGCCCTGTTTTCCTTACCATTATTTCCCTGTCCTAAATCTGCATCTGGCTCCTCCAAATGTATAATTTAATCAATTTGGCGTTGTCAGCATGATTGACATGCAATTTAGCTGAATTGTAATGCTACCTAACTGACATATCTTAGCATGTTCTGATGTTCAGCAATGTTTTCTCTACTTTGTGAAGTCCCCTGATGTACATGATGGCATTAATGTTCCAGCTCTGCAGTTCAAGTGTGAAAAATCAGGATGAGTATGTATGGTGAGAATATGAGCCCCTGTGCACTCTGGTGAATGTCTTACACAACACCACTTGGAGAAACTGGGTTGCACAGAGAAGTCTCTTCAGTCATTCTGTCAGTGCCCATGTTCTTGTTTCCTTTGGACCTTGTGGCATGGATCCTTTCTGCTTTCCTTTTCACCATTAGGGCAGTTTTTGTGCTCAGCAGCACCTGGTATGGTCTTTTCCCACCTAGGAGACAGAGGTCTGTACACAACCTTTTTCAGAATGTTAGAGCTAGCATATAGTTAATCATGGATTGCTCTGTTAATATCGGGGTAGCTCTGTGAGGTGTGAGGCATTTCCTACATGTGCAGCTAGGACCAGCATACTGAGGCAGGATTTACTGTAGGGCAACTGGCCTACCGTCAGGGTGGAGTCACACGCCTGACTCCGATTGACTCCAAATCTTTATTAAAAACAGGGAACACACTACAATGCAGGTAAAGGGACTCTGAGAAATAAACAACACTACAGGCAACACAAAATACTGACAGAGAGAGGACAAAGAGCTAGTCACTAGGGAGCAACTAAAGAACATATGACAGGCAATAAACAAGATCATACAATGGCTCAGAACTAAGCCCCCCAACTCATGAAAGACAATGACAGGAAATACAGATGGTACCAAACAACAACCCTAGTAAACAACAATAATAACACAAAAAATAGTGATGGAGAGCAATCTTGAATATATCCTGGTGAAACGACAAGAAAACAACCAACAACTGATCAAGTTATAGGGGCAAATTATGTGCAAGAACAGCAGAGTTCAAGTAAATAAACAAAGCGTTTGACAGGAAAATCCAGATCATTTGTACACTTGTGTTGAAAATGTCTATAGTAGCTCTACAGCTACAGCAACGGCTATACATTTTGCTCTCTTACATTCTCTGCATTAGTGTACAAATAGGATAGCAATTAAAAAAACAAACACTTTTTTCATGTGCACTTTTCAACTAACCATTTGGACTGGAATAAAGTCATTATGAGTCTAAACCTGATAGGTATTCTTTCCAAAGTCCAGCACAATGTTATATCAATTGTCCTTTTAATAGGCCTAGCACTTTAAATTAAACTAAATAAGCATGTATTTATTTATAAGTGAAATATTTACAATTGCAATTAGACTAAAGTTTGACCTACAGTATGTGTCTGAGCCTGACCCAAACCTTTGGGTATCAAAGGGTCCCATCGGGCTTGGTTTGGGTATCCACCCTTTATTCCTCACCCTAACACAATAACACATTAGTTTCTGGGCATCAGAGGATTTTCTCTGAAATGCTGTAAGGAGACTGGTGGGAACTAAGTAAAGCTTGAATATTTATTAGCTTATAAAATCTAAAGACTAGGATGGCCATTCTTTACTTTTCTTGGGAAAAAAAGATCTCTCAGTAAATCAACTGCTATACACACCTTTCAGTGTTAAACATTTTAAAATGAAACAATAGGCTACCAATAGTGCATAAGTGAGTTGTGACTAGGTGTGGTGAGTCAGGCCATCTGAACTGTACTAGAACTCCCTGACAACCAGTCCAAACATGGGTTTGGATCTAGAGCCCTTAGGAGGAAACTGGGTGTGTTTATGCATTACAATAGATATGTGCAACCAAAACAGGAGACTTCATAAACTATCACAACAAAAATGCTGGCCAACACCTGCAAATGCACGTAATTTGGGACACGGTGATCGCAGTGATTTGGCTGACTAGAGGTGACCTGTTGCAGTTATTGGGCCATTGAGCTGATGCCGTTAGTTTTAATGTCAAATCAGACAGTTCAAGAGAAGGTGAACAGGGGTCCTTTTTCAGAGGGTGAACAGTTGTCAGGACAGATGAAAATACATTATACACACTCATGCATAGTTTCAGGAATTTAAGTTCAAGGCAGAAAGTTATACGTGAACATCTCTAAATCATTGTCCAAGTCTGCATTAAGTCACCGATAGTGACGTGAATTATTCATTACTGAAGTGATTATTGTCTTTCTGTCTGTTTGTTGTAACACATTTCTTCAATCACTGTCAGATGTCCTCTGCCTCTTTATTTTGCTGGCACCTATAATGGAAAGTTTACACAACCAGCAGACCGGCTTGTCTTTTGAAAAAAAGGTTCAGATTGTTATTTCCATTGACGTTACCAAGTGTTCACTGCACTAGAATTGTTATTTATATTAAGTGAAATTATCTTTCAACGGTATTAAAAAATGAGTCTAAAAGCTCCAAAATCCTTTACTACTTTATGCCATTGTTGTCCAAAAACACTTGAAAACACATGCCTGAGCCACAATGTTGCACTGTTTAAAACACAACAATATTACTGTGCCATGAAACTGTAGCTCATTTTGAGTCAATCCCACATACAGTTTCCAGCTGTCCAAAATATTCGGTAGAACACCAAATGTGTATTATTCTGCAGGTGAAAAGAGTCGCTGTTTACTTCTGTTAATGTTTTCTGAAAACTATAGTGCCAAGCTGGTTTAGAGAATGTCTTAGCCTACGTGCAAAATTAAACTATACCTTCATGAAAAAACAAATGAGGTAATCTGTGTTCTAACATCTGCAATTTGGAGAGCAGGAATTAAGTAATCCATGTGTATGTTTTACTAATTAAGAACCAAGATTCATAGGGTTTTTTGTCCTCCATGACACACCCTTAGTGGGTCCTGCTATAAATTCCTGCTATAGCATTGTCTTTTCAACAGCTGAAAATATTTAAAGTGACTTTTCCTTTATTTTACCCAACCATAATCCCAACATCATGCACCATAAAACTCACAAATACTTTTATAGTCTCTCAGCAATTCTCATACACGCAGAAGAGAACAGCACATGTGGGCAGAGCAGCAGCACAGCAGAAACAGTCTTTCTCTCAGTTCGTCATTACTCAACATCATCACTGCTCTGACACTGCCAAATACATTACAGTACTGCTTAGTGCTGTTGCTAGCTAGCTAATGGCTCCCTTATGGCAAACTATGTCCAGCAGCTGACTGCCCCTCTCAGCTGGTTGCTACTTTCTTTAAAGTTCTGCAACACTGTCTGTTCCTACACCTACTTCACACCTAACCTTGCCCTTACCCCTAAACTCTACCCTTAAGCCTACCTACGTTTACTGCAGTGTCAGATATAATCTGCTTCACTAGGAAAAACTGCAACACAGAGTCTTAAACTTTGTACAACTTGGCTGACACAAAGTTCTGTTAGCTTAGCAGCTCCCAGGTGTTTATACTGTGTCTAATGCACTGAGTATGAGTTGGACCATAAGCTTTAGAAAGTTGCATCCAAGAGTACAGACTTGTAACTTAGACACTGGCTTTTCTTTAGTACTTTTTATAAAACACTCAAAGAGATCATTAAATCATTTTATGATTTTATGACATAGTTCTCTCACTGACATGGTGTCTGCCAGGAGAGATTTTGCTCTTCCATTCCTACATAGATAGTTATGTTATGTTTATTATTTCAGGGTTAAGTGTTTTTTTTTTTACCTTGATCTGTGAGGCATTTAACTA